GACCTCTACTTCCATCTCCCTGTTGAAGAATCTCAACGCGCATTGTGCCCTGGCTCAAATACCCTCTAAAACGGAGAACAAGAAAAGTTCCACCTTTTATGTCAGAGATTTACAGCGGTAGGTACGTTGTTTACTTGACCCCACCAAGCTTCCGGTAAAAAAAGACATAGCTCCAAGCTATCAAGGCTGTACAAGGCTCATTGATTCTAACAATGATTTTCGTATTACATGCATGCATTGTTAGAATCAATGAGCCTGTGTAAAAATATAATCCATAAAGAAGTGGGATATGATCTCACCACTTGGACGATGTCAACATGGTTCTTGCGAATGATCTGACACCAATCCATGATCTCGTTATCGGGTAAGGCTGCGCTTGGGCACACCTGAAATGGAGGCTTGGCAAAGACATCAGACAAAGGCTGGCATTGGAGTAGTTGTAGGGATGGGGGGGGGAGGAGGGGGTGGACACGCAATGATTCTAGACTGCACCCACCCTGGCCTTGTCTGAGCTTTATCGCTCGAGTGACTCCTCGCGAAGTATGAACGCACTCTTGGGAGGGTAGGTACCAATATTTCGGCGGAAATATGCATGCGAGCAGAAAAGAGCGCGACCTAGTCACGCCGTCTCCTACCCCTCCAGCTAGAACTGCGCCCAAAGGTTTCACATACTCGTGAGGAATCGGAATCAAACGATAACAAAACGCCGTGCAAGGCAGAACCCGTTTCAGTATTCCATGGAGAACCATGAACCAGACTAGACATTTAGCACTAAGTAAGTTTGAGTGAGTGTAGGAGCGATATTACGCTGCTCCCAATATGGTCGTCGCGTCCCTTACAAGGGAGGTCGTTCAGGCCGTGGTGAGCTTTTTCAAAACGGTTTGTTGCATGTTGTAGGGGTCCATGCGAGGACCACAGCGATGGGGTTCATTTTTGCTAAACGGTACTGGGAATGTCAAAAAAAGGTCAAAATAATTCGAAAAGAATGGACTTTTTAAACCACCTTATTCGCCTCTGTTCTAGCTGTAGCGTTGACAGGGTATGGTATGTGGGGTATCCTTTGAGTAGGCATGAAAAACAGCGCAAAATAAGGTCAAAATCCAAATGCTTTACTTGGCATGTGGTGAGCTGCATTGGAGCTTTCCAGTCATCTGCGCATTTCTCTTCAACAGGTCCTACATTTCCCATGTCGCAGTTGGCAGATGGTAATGGTAGCGTGACGGGCTCTCAATCATGGGGTTTATGGATCGGATCCCTTTGGCGGCAACTTTCTTGCATTTTTCAGATTTCTTGCATCTTGTATTCCTGAAGTGCCAATAATGTGTATACCGATATACGCATTACAAGACAGCATTTCCATGCGGAAACGTTCACGAACGGCCCACTTACAATTATTAGCTCGCGAAATACTAGCGAAGATTCTCCATGAAACTTGGGTTACGGCGGTTATCCGATGCTGATCATAAACATGACACTCATTTTTAAATATGGCGCAATGTGTCGCCAATTTGGTGCAAAAGGCCTTTCTCGTACTAAGCAAATCAATTGTCAGTCTGCGCGCGGCGGGGCTTATTTAGTGCCATACTGGTCCCAGATGGCCTCCGTGCCAAAAATAAGTGTCAGAACCGTGATCAGGACCATGAACTATCCCTACGTATAGAGTTACGCCGGAAAAAATTTTTCCGAGTTTTTGTGTTATGATGCCTGCATGTCTCCAGCTATGCTAACAGTCCGCCCTCTGGCCCCTCCCTCCTTAAAAGAGGTCATTATTCAACATTCGTTAGGAGGGCTTCTCATTTGTTAGTATGCAGACGAGAATTAACAACTACACAAGAAAGGTGAGGCACATACACTGCACACCACTAATACCTTTGATATGGGAGAAACAAGATTTTTTTTTTCCGGGCAGGTGTAACGAGTTCTTTGTCGAAATTGTCGAAGACGGTAAAAGGAAAAGTATCATGGATGCTCGTTTACTGAACTCCGGAGCCATCAGGTTGCGTCCTTGTAACACCTACTGAATGTTGAGATGTGCAAGAAATGTAAAAGTTTCTATGTTTTGTATGTCATAGAGGCATACTCAAGAGGAGAAGTTCGCCTGTTCACTGACAATTATTTATGGCGCCGACGCGATCTGGGGCCAGCGTGGCGCTAAATGGCCACTGCGAGCGCGAAGGGATGCTGCATAAACCCCTGAAGAAACTGCAGTATACCTCACTGTATGCAAAGTAAAGCACTTCAATTTCGACCTTATTCAATATTGTTTTTCATGTCTAGTTGAGGAACACTTTATAAACTCTATGTATTCTGCTTTACAGCTGAAACAGATGCGAATGAGATGATAAAACTTGCGCGTATTTTGAGCGATTTGTTTTTATTCCTTTTTTGGCATTCCCAATAGCGTTTAGCAAAAATGAACCCCATCTGTGTGGTCCTTGTATGGACCCCTACAACATGCAACAAATCGTTTTGAAAAAGCTCACCACGGCCTGAACGACCTCCCTTGTAAGGGTCGAGCGCTCAAGAAGGGCGTTCAATTCTATTATTTTTTTTTCAGATGCGCTAATCGTGCACCCAGATTCGCTCGAACGACTGCGATCGCCAGATCGGCGTCGATACGAACTCGAGATCTGCGCGAAACGCAAGGCGACTGATTAGCTAAGTATGAAACGCGCGTTAAGGGTTAATAACCTCGATGGGAATATGTAGCCGGAAAAGAAGCGCGAACTAGTACTTCGCTTCCTACCCCACTCCAGCTAAAACTGCGCCCAAAGATTTCTCGTAATCATGATCGTAATCATGAGGATTTGAAATCAAAAGATACACCGTGCAGGCAGAACCCGTTTTGGATTACGTAGAGAATAACGAAAGAGCTTCCAGTTGTAACCACAGACTAAGGGGTACGACATAGCGGGAATTCCAGCAGGCCGGCCGCGATTAGACATCGAGCACACTTCATATGACTAATTTAATGCAGTCGAATGGTATAGCGTCAGCATAACCACAGTATAACTTCAACAGGCAGAATATCCGGTCAAGTCTACACAAGGCTGATTTGAAGACTCTGCCACCCATATGCTGGCGCTATTTAGACAACTGTAATATTCGGATGTATAAAGCGCTCCTAATATAGGCGCACGTTCGCACTGCGAACGAACCCAATGTTTTCAGTTTCTCTCTTTGCGTGATTCCTTGTTTGTCTATAGAGCATATGCATTCAATAAGTAGTGCTTGGAAAACCAATTCAAAAGAACAAACAATAAGCAATAAATGGCTCAGAAGAAAACATCGCTGCTTCCAGAAGAATTTCGTCGTGTGTTGTCTTAGCGGACCATGGCGAGAAAAAGCGGCCTGCATATACCCCACAAAATAGGATAATTGTAAATTTATCACCCAAGATAACGAACCTGTAGAAGATGCATTTGATTAGCTATCCACTTTCGTGCACGTCCAGATGATTCTATTTCAAATGGTATCACAGCGGACTGATTGACAACATTGAAGATGTCAAAGCTAAACAAAAAAAGAATAAAATGAGAAAGAGACGTAGTTGCAGCTTAAAGACAAGCTGTACACACAGCACTTCACATCAGTGGATTCTGGTCGTTGCCATGTGTAACGTGAGCCCGGATGGCATCTACATCCATACACCGCCCGCGCTGCTGCGCGCCAATCACCCGCCTAACTATAGATAAACGCGCTGCTTGTCTGTGCCCCCTCAGTTCCGGTTGTTCTCTTCCTCTGAGTGCGTGTTTAACTGCGGGACCTTGGTATCGACGCAAGGGCTGCACATTGAGTTAGCGCGGGTGGAGCTTAGAGGCGGCATTCGTGTATCACTATTCTGAAGCCCCGTTCCCGTGTACTTTCAGCGGAAAAGTGGCACACCACTGCAGCTGCGGACTCAGTAACCTCTACATGGCAAGTAGCGTTTTCGGTGGTGAGTGCACCGCTTGTCTTCAAATCGTAGTAGTTTGAAAGGCATACGGTTCAGCATCATCCATTCTCTGCATATCATCTGTACGATCGTCACCATCCCGTACCCACTCAATAAAACGAGCATTACACTCAAATACTTGCTGTGTCGACAGCTGATTCCATTCGGCTGATAGCTGAAAGTTTCCGATAATGGGAACCCATAAGGCTGTGTTCATACTTTGCGGATGAGGAGATTGGGCGATTTGAGAAACTTGGGCGTTTTGGGAGATCGACGGATCGCCAAATCTCAGCAATCGCTGGCGACCGGCCCCGATCGATACCCATCCGCTCTCTTGGCGCACAGCCGCCGGAAACGCCTAGTCTCACGAATCGCTGGAACGCTCGATCTCCGCAATCGCCAGATCCCTACTTTTCTCGTCGCGCAATTCCCAAGTCGCCGAGCCCAAATTCAAAAGTTACCGAATCACGAGTCTGCTCGTTCGCAAAGTATGAAAGCGGCGTAACAATAAGACTCGTTTTAAAACAATTACTTACCTTTTTGAGCCACATCCCGAGGTACGACTTGCTGTAGAGGAAATTAGCAGTGTTAGGCCGAGTTTGAAGTATCACATCTACCTGGACCATTATATCATCACCGTCCAGGAAGGTCTGGATGCTAAAAAAGAGGTGTCCGATGACTACTAGCACTGAACGAACACATAACTTTCGAATTACAGAACGGAAGATCACTAGGAAATGGAGCTCACTATTCAATAAAGTCCTGATAGATGCCTTTTCGAACGGTTCTGTCCATCCAACGTACGACTCTACTCAGCTCGAGATAGGACATGTCACCATGTTCGATCATTCCATACAGAGTGGCCAAAAGACTGAAAAGCTGTGATAGTTAATACCTGATTGACAAGAGCGCAGTGTTATGTAGACAAGATGAGGATTTCGGCTTGGTGGGGGGGGGGGTACCGAATGGTACTCAGCTAAGCATGTACGGGCCAAATTGTGAATACCTGTGAACTCGTCTTACTAAATTAGCTCATTTGAACAACTTCGCTGCTTCAGAGGAGTTTACAGGTCCGACCAAAGAGACCTAATATTATAAGTTGACAAAAACTAACAAAAGGAACTGATGAAAATGCAAAACATTCCCCCCCCCCCTCGCTGTTCCCAAGCCAAATAGCTCATTTTGCCCAAGCTAGGCAGAAGAGCTCTGATGAGGATAAGTCACCTCCCTTGAGAAAAAATGGGATCCAGAGCTACAGTAATCCCAGTTCCTTACAAGCGGCAGCAAGCAATACAGGGAAGTAAAAGCAAAAAAAAACTGGAGCAAAACGTACGAGCAATGTTCACTCTGCGTAAAGGCTTGAACATCTTGATGAATCTCATCGAGCACTTGAATTAGAACATACAAGGCTAACTGAAATCTAATTCGAGGTAAAAATATGGTACAAGGTATAATAATACAAAAGATAATCTAAGACTGCATCTGAAAATAATGAAAGACATCGAATAGAACTGAAATTGATAATCTAGTTTAGAAAGGAAATTTCCAAGGAAAGTCACAGGAAAGCATGTACAGTTTCCATGCTGAAAAGATCTGGTCAAAAAGGGAAGATACAGGTTCATTACACTCTTTTTCTGCGATGGCGACAAGAATGAGGGCCATATTTGTGGTCAGTTCGCCAAAAAACCTCAACAGTTAATTTTGTGACAACTTTGATGAACAAAGGTCTTAGGGCTAAGTTGAGATACCTAGCTGGGTTAAGCTGCGCCGATGCCACCGAGGGATGTTATATTCGTGGCAAGGGTCCCAAGTTACCCGAAAGTTGAGATGTCACGTTAAAATTGTTGCATAGTTCCGTATAAACACTGGAGCCTACAAGAAATCGTTACCTCTGAGCCCCTAGAAACTCTTTAGGCCAGAACTCAGCTCTGGCCTGTTACCACAACAAAAACCAAAGAATCATCCAAAGAAACGGTCCATAAAGGTAATTTTTAAAGCAAATTGGCCTGGCGTGAGGGAGATAGAGCCGGCCAGAACTATAACCGTTCAGAGGAATGGCCGGCGAGTAAAGAGATTTATACATAATGTGAACTCGCTTACCTTGCAGGGAGTGATACGTTCGCACACGACGTTGGTGTGCACGTTACCAAACAGGTCATCGAGATTTACTCGAGTACTGAATGGTATAACAATTCGATCTTGGCGTTGATTCCATTCTGCATATGCACTCGTCATTCACACAAGAACCTTAAACAGGCTTATCAATATCATCCGGTTATGTACTATTAAAAGTGAGCCGGAAACCGCACTTATATTTTACTAGGCCGCCAACGGGGAGCTGGTCAAGAGATCCACGTTACGGCGACACGCGCTTACTGTTGTTGATGTCGCCACAATCCGGCAGGACGGTGTCATGCGTGGAATGAGCCCACACACAGCTGCGTATTCTACCAATGGTGGCCCGTCCAGTGGAAAACGACCAGTGGTAGAAAGCACCGCGGATAGGATTCCACGACTCCTAGCGTAGCCTTGCCGGATTGCGACGGTATCATCACCTGGCCACCTCCCTTGACATTCCGTAGCACTTCCGATCGAGATTTACAGGAACCTGGTTCAAAAGAAGCGGACACTGCCACATAGCTTCGAAGTCAACCTATCGCGTCCATTCAAAGGGATCACATTTGGCTCAGTATGCCGACGAGAGGGGGCATTTTGCACTTTTGCTACTTCCCATCGACGTGTCGACCTATCTAGACAGCCTCTTCTCGAGTTGACAGGTTTTAACATGATGGCTTGACGACCTTGTTCCAGCTTCACAAGAGTTCACAGGTTTCGCCAGAGTGAGACATGTAAACCGGAACTAAGGAAGCAATGATAGTACAAAATGCCCCCTCCCCCCCCCCGTCGACAAACTGCGCATTCACATTTATAGGATACAGGCATTCTCAGAGCTCAGGCAAGATCGAGGACTAGTCCCTACTTTCTCGGACCCACAAAGATTTCTTTTTGCCCATTTATCATTTTTTCACTCTCTTGTGCATACATTCATGCTACTGGTGAAACTCATGGGATGATGAGAAATTCCACAGAAAAACAGATGGTTACGTGACTTGAATTCCTGCGCGAATTCCTGGTCCGAAGCCCTGTATGCAGACAGCTAAAGGACAGTGGCTGTGCATGTGAGAAGACAATCGTAATACGCCGCGCTGGCGGCGTGAAGATCGCTGGTCGAAGACGAGCTAACGAATCTGATAGCCAAAACGGTGAGAAATTTGAAAAAGTTCGTCATGAAGTCTTGTCTCCACTTGAATTCATATAACTTTCGTTGCTTCAATGCGAAAACTGATACACGTCGAGAATTTGCCGTGCACCGCCGTACAACATGCCGCGCGCGACGACGCGACAAGTTGCGATTGTCTTGTACGTCGCCCCGGTGACCGCGGCAGCATCGAAGTGTGCAAAATATGTGTGGCCCGCTAGAAAAAGGTTATTTTAAGACAAGGGAAGCTCCGAGGTAAGATTATCCACTTGGATTAAAGTCACATACACACCGATGGTGACATCGAGGTCACCACGCGACGCTCGCATTTTGAAACGCACGGTGTCCTCCGCATCAGATTTGACCATTTCATTGCAATTGATTTATTGATTGTGGGAAGAAAATAATCGCAAGAAGGTGAGATAGCATGCGCCTGGATGAAGGTATAGAGTGAAAGGCAGTCGAATGGGCTGCCGTGTACGCCGCACGCGACATCGCATGGTACCTCTTACACATTGCAACCGGATTAAAAGTGCTCGTAGTCTGTCGAATGAGTTCTTCATTTACAGTTGTTGCAGAGAGGAGATTATCTCCTTTGACTCCACTCTCCTAGCTGTCATTAGAATCTATCAGTGAAAAGTATCTAGAGGAAATCCCATAACATTGAACTATTCTGATTCATTTGAAAACTTTATCAAAGGCAAATCGAATCATTCCATTGGCAAGAAAAAAAAACAAATAAATAATTTAGTAATCTATGAATACACAGGCTAAAAACGTATTTAATTATACAAGAGGAATCGCATGAGAGAATGTTAGGCACATTGGGTGAAGTGACGAGGTTTGAATCGCCTCTGAACGTTGGCGATTCAATAATACAAATACTGTAATGAACAATTTGATGAGTAGAGGTCACTCTGGCCTCTTCTGGCCTAAACTGGCCGTGAGCTAAAAATGGCCGTGACAAATGAGCTTCAACGAAAATGCTTATTTTGGAGCAAAAATAAAATGAAAACATTATAGCACCGTCATTGAATATTCACAGTTCATCACAACGCAGCTGCTTAAGCAGTAAATATGACTACCACTAGAATAAGAAGTAAAAAGGAAAGTAGGAACTTCTGAAAGCAAAGAACAAAAGAAAATGAAAAAGTTAGTTCAAAAAGAATTACAATTACAGAGTTAATGACAGGTGTAAGTTTCAAGTAGAAACAGTAAAGTAGGCGACGATGGAAGACTTAAATGCCCTCCTACCAAAGGCAGCGTTCACACTTCGCGCTGACGCGCGTCGATGAGCTACTCTTGCAAGAGCGCTCCAATCCTATAGACGCGAACATAGCCGCAGACGGGAATCGATCGGCGCTTGTGTTTTGAGAGAGCATAGGGTAACAGAAAGGCAGGCGGTGCCTTCACATTATTTGGTACTCTAACTTCTTCAATATTCTCCCAAAGCCCTGGGGGCCAGTGCCGATCAATACCAGACCACGTAATTAGGCAACGAAAGCTCCTGTTTTCCCTACTCTCTCAATACACAAGCGGCCGTTGCCGATCGATTGCTGTCTGCGGCTGCGTTCGCGTCTATAGGATTGGAGAGCTATCGCGAATGCAGCTCGTTGAGCCCATTAGAGCACGTTGACGCGAACTCTAAACGCTGCTTCACCAAAATCGAGCAAAATAGCTTTGAAGAAACCAAACTGAGATCCATGAGAACCACCGTTGTGGAAGAGAAATGGAAAACAACCGTTGACACGGGACGAAGGTCCCGCCCAAGGTGGGCGGTGCTTCACAACACAACCTAAAGACACCATTCTGAGTTGACGGGTGGGCGGAGCCAGGAACAGACATCACTGACGCGCCCTTCCTGTTCCAGTTTCTCTACTACACACAATGCTGAAAGAGGAAAGACGCAACAATGATGCCACTTCCAGGCCCCACCCACATGTAATCCCAAAAAGTGAGTTTAAGTCCAGTTTTCCATTTAATTTCCTGGCAACGGATAAGTACCTTGGATATCACCCCTGTTAGTATTCTTGTTAGCAGAACAAGAGAAAACTCTACCATTGCAATGGTAAGAACTGGACCAGTGAACAAAGTGAGGCTTCAAGAAAAAAAACGACAAAAATTCCAAATAAACGTCACCTAACACATGAAAGGACGGCATCGAATGAGGGATTGGGTTGGAACCACGTCTAAGGATAGTTTGAAGAAAAGTGAAAGTTTACATCAGCACGCATTTCTGCTTCTGCTTTTTCTTCTTCGCTTTCGTTCGATTCGGAGAAACTGCGTTGCTACTCTGTAAAAGTGTGAACTCATGGCTAATAAACTACAGTAGAAATTGATAAGGTGACATTGGGGGAGGGGGGGGGCAATCACGCAGAGCAGGCACAGGTCGCGTGCGAGTCGCGCGCGCAAATGACGAGTTCCCTGGTCGAAGAGAGCGCCAGAAGGAAGAAGTTAAACCAAAAATAACCATGAACGTCTGAGATTTCGAAGTCCACATGAAATCCGATGTTCCAATCGACAGGCTACGCAACGTAAGAAAACCTCTAACTATCGCGACGACGCGACAGAGCGGCGAATTACAATTCTCTCGGCCATCATCTCAGACAAAGGCGCTTTTCCCCCTTAGACCATGTTAGCGTCGAGAAAGTCTCGTCAACGCGAAGATACATACCTCTTCTTCATCTTCGTGTGTCGGGAAGCTCTTACATATTCGAACCAACTCGTGAAAAGCGGCATCAACATTCACAGGTGGGTCCTAAAAAAGCTATCGGTTGTTTCTATGATCAGAAGTGAGTTCCAGTTCCAAAGAGTACATACAATAAAATTGAGAGTTTTAGTGCAATGATTTGTGCAAATTACGGTAACTCTAAATCTGCATAACGAGTTTTTTTAAGGATTAATTCGCCCGGCCAGTGAGCGTCGCATGCGACGTCGCGCCTCGCTAATGACGACGATTTTAGGTGGTATTGGTCGAGAATAGACAATGTATGACCAAAAATAGACATAGGTGTCTACCATTTCTTCTCCTAATGAAATCCAATGCTCTAATCGAAAGGTAGTGCAACTTGAGGAAACGTCGCGATCATTGCCGCGCGCGACGAGGCGGCAATTTACGATTCTCCTGCCCGCCTTCTGGCTCACAGTCGCTCTTCGAGCAGGATAAATGCTCCAGTCGGGGTCAGGAGGGTATTACTTTGAGCCGATGCAGGGTACACCCCAGGAGAGTTCCGGAATGCGCCATATTTCAGGATATTACCCGTTAACTTGCGAGAAGTTATGGAAAGTACATTCAAATCTGAACATCGATATACATAAAGAGCAGCAAATATTTCTTAACCATTATTTTGTACTAGACGCCTGCTATAAGGAAGGCACACGGTTCTACGACCTTTGTCTTGAATGGGAGCAAAAATTAACAAAAACAACAAAAAAGATACGCTGGGCCAGTTCCTAACATATAAACGTCC